ACATGATTTCCCATTCCAGCCGCGATTTCATCGACCTTGTTGAACTATGTGTTGGCTTTACGTGTTTCTCTTTCGAAAATCCCCTTTCAGCAGACTTTTGGACTACCCATGGGTTCGCCACTCAGTGCAGTCCTGGCGAACCTATACATGGAACATCTAGAAGCCGAACGTTTCTCCACCATTATTCCTTCGTCTGTCACCCGGCTCCGTTATGTTGACGACATTCTCCTCATAACTCCTAAAACGCTTCAACGTTCAAGCTCTCCAAGACAAGCTCAACCCGGTCGAACCTTCAATCCAATTCACACTTGAAAGAAGAAGTCGACAACACTCTTCCTTTCTTGATGTTTCTCTGCAAAGCTGACCACGAACTTCGTTTTAAAGTCTATCGAAAACCCACCAACCAAAACGATCTTCTCCACTTCTACTCTCACCACGACACCAAAACCAAACGTGGTGTAATTATAAGGCTTCTTCCTGCGTGCACTCAGAATCTGCAGCAACGAGTCCTTGAGGAAGAATGCACTATAATTGAACAAGTATTTTCCAAACTCCACTATCCTCGTCACTTCATCAGAGACTGCAGACGGCGAGCATTAAACATCTTCAACACACCAGAAAGAAGACACTGCCGAGAAGAGATACATAGTCCTTCCCACCAACTCCATTGCCAAACATGTTTCCAACATCTTTGCCAAAACATCATTCCAAGTATCTACCTCCACAACCACGACCATCAAGGACATCACCAGTAGTAGACAGGACAAGCCTCCATTTCCCCTGCAGGGGTATACATAATCCCTTGTAATGACTGCAACAAATTATACGTGGGCGAACATCAAGAGACCTCCAAACACGTATTTCAGAACACCAATATGCAAGCAGGACTGACGATACAAGGAATGCCTGTGTACAACATCGCAATTCACACACCATTTAATTAACTACAGAAACTCAAGACTTATAGCCACAGAAGACAACACTCAAAACAGAAGAAACCTGGAATCATCGTTTATCTCTATAACCAACAAATTTCAACCAGAACAATGGCTTCTATAACATAGCTGAACCACTCGCCAAGAAACTTCTTCATCGCTATCCCACATAAGAACATAGAACACTGCAGAAGGTCTACTCACAACTTGTCCAATATCCCCGCCTAGCTACCCAAGACTCTACAACCCCACCCGGTAGATCATCTGATGCAGCAATCTTCACCTGACCCTCAAAGTTCTGAACTATAAATACTCCCGTACCTTCCAAAACCCCCGTAGATCCGTGTGTGACTTGAAAAAGCCCACTGCGTGGGTGAAACGTTGTCAATAAAGGATCACATTATACTGCATTTGTGTTTATATTTCCACGGTACTGTGTTCGTAGAATGATATAAATATTAAGAAAATATATATTTCTTATACAATTAAACACAATAAAACAGACTTCAGTGTTGAGTTACAATTCAAAACAATTTTTTAAAATATAATGTATAAATCACAGTATAAAACATTATTTGTGATTATATAGCACATATAAAAAATCGGATAATTTTATATAAAACTAGGCAGGATAGGCGAATTATCCCCCTAATTATTTACAGATATAACAAGAAAAATTAAATTTCAAATAAAGTATGATTCAACAAGAACTAAATAGTGCTAGAAGAACAATTACGTTTGTTACCTCTATTTAATTTTAATCTATATTATTACCTGAAAATTCAATGGTATATCTAAGATTCACATTTGGTTTAATAGGTTTACAGTATATCGACTACAGGAGGGTTTTTAAGGCTGCATGTCACTTAAACGAATGTGATATGGTTTTTGAGACCTGACGAGCTGTTGGAGTGTGAGCAGGGTAATATTTTGTGAAAGGATTCAGGGAAACCGGTTAGCCGGACTTGAGTCCTGGAGGTGGGAAGTACAGTGTCTGCTCTCTGACGGAGGTGTGTTGGTGTGTTGCAGTTTTGTAACTGTAGTGCAGGCGCGCCTCTGGCAAGACAGTGATGGAGTGAATGATGATGAAGGTATTTCTTTTTTTCGGGTCACTCTGCCTTGGTGGGTAACGGCCGATGTGTTAATAACACACACATACATATATGTGTGTGTACTCGCCTATTTGTGGTTGCAGGGGTGGAGACTCAGCTCCTGGCCCCGCCTCTTCGCTGACCGTTACTGGGTCCTCCCTCTCCCTGCTCCATAAGCCTTATCATACCTCGTCTTAAAACTATGTATGGTTCCTGCCTCCACTACATCACTTGTCAGACTATTCCACTTCCTAACAACTCTGTGGCTGAAGAAATACTTCCTAATAACCCTTTGACTCATCTGAGTCTTCAACTTCCAATTATTACCCTCCCTTTGTTTCTGTGTCCCATCTCTGGAACATCCTGTCTGTCCACCTTGTCTATTCCACGCAGTATTTTGTATGTCGTTATGTCTCCCCTGACCCTCCTGTCCTCCAGTGTTGTCAGGCCGATTTCCCTTAACCAGAGACGTCGCTAGAGTTGGTGTCACCCGGGGCAGCATCTTTGGTGTCACCCCCATGAAATTCAGGGGCGGGGGGATGTGGGGGGTAAACTCAGTTATGTCACTACTGCATGACCAGTGACTAATGTTTGTCAATGTGAACGTTTAAGGACCATAAACTGACCTCAACTTTATTAATAATAAATAATCGTAGTAATGTTGAGGAACAAACTCAAATACCACTTTGAGTACAGCCAACAGATCCTACATTTATTCCTCTTCAACAATGTTAAAACAAAAAAAAACTGAAAAAATATAGAAAAACATTGCAATATCAGAGAAACACTAGTTCCGATTTGACCTTGAGTACAGGTAACATCTTAGTGAATCTGATCTTACATTTCCTTGCCTTCAGTTATGCAAAATCATCTATCACATCATCAAAATCAATGATTTTCCCTATATAGGCTTATTTGTACTTTGTTAATATATAATAGGCTATTTAGAAACGAAGGATTTTTCTCTTATGTTGGTATAGCACTGTTCTGGGCATTAGTGTCACCTTTTCTAGAGGCTCTGTGGTGTCACCCTTAAATGGTGTCACCCGGGGAGGCCCCCCGCCCCCCTTACGACGCCCCTGCCCTTAACCTTTCTTCGTAGGACATCCCCCTTAGCTCTGGAACCAGTCTTGTTGCAAACCTTTGCACTTTCTCTAATTTCTTGACGTGCTTGACCAGGTGTGGGTTCCAAATTGGTGCTGCGTACTCCAGTATGGGCCTGACGTACACAGTGTACAGAGTCTTGAACGATTCCTTACTGAGGTATCGGAACGCTATTCTCAAGTTTGCCAGGCGCCCATATGCTGCAGCAGTTATCTGGTTGATGTGTGCTTCCGGCGACGTACTCGGTATTATACTCACTCATAGATCTTTCTCCTTGAGTGAGGTTTCAAGTCTTTGACCGCCTAGCCTATACTTTGTCTGCGGTCTTCTTTGCCCTTCCCCGATCCTCATGACTTTGCATTTGCATTTGTGTGTGTGTGTGTGTGTGTGTGTGTGTGTGTGTGTGTGTGTGTGTGTGTGTGTGTGTGTGGTGTGTGTGTGTGTGTGTGTGTGTGTCTGTGTCTGTGTCTGTGTGTGTGTGTCCTGTGTGTGTCTGTGTGTGTCTGTGTGTGTGTACTCACCTAGTTGTACTCACCTAGTTGAGGTTGCGGGGGTCGAGTCCGAGCTCCTGGCCCCGCCCCTTCACTGATCGCTACTAGGTCACTCTCCCCGAGCCGTGAGCTTTATCATACCTCTGCTTAAAGCTAGTATGGATCCTGCCTCCACTACATCGCTTCCCAAACTATTCCACTTACTGACTACTCTGTGGCTGAAGAAATACTTCCTGTGTGTGTGTGTGTGTGTGTGTGTGTGTGTGTGTGTGTGTGTGTGTAATGCAGAAGCCTAAATTAGTAACGGCTGTACAGCGCCTTGGGAACAAGATGTAGAGTAGGGTATCTCAAATTCCTTGAATCGAGATTCCTTCAGAGGAATCAAATAAATAAATACCTGAAGGAAGGTGTATAGATAATTTAAAAAAATGATAACAGTCTTTTGATCACCTGACGTTCGTCCTAAATTAATACACAAACAACTGTGGTCTTGGATGTATTCACAATTTCACTAACTAGCGAAGCCTTTTTTTGACATGATTGTTCACTTCACCCAATAACCACACGTAGCTCACTATGATCCTTCGTTTGGCAGCGAAGGATCATAGTGGCTCTGCAATGTAAAGCTGTGGTAGAGGATTCTGTTCACACCCGAAAGGACTCCGACTCAATCTCGGAAGGGGCCAGTCTCATCTACACTTGCTACCCACGTTAGTTGGTTAATAAATACTCACGACTTGGTAGATTGCTAATAGTTGCATCTCAGGTTAAGGATCTGAGGACCCCAAAATAAATAAGCACCTTGTTTGGCTTTTTTGGGGGGGAAAAATCTTGAGTAGTTAGCCCTCCGGGGTAGGTCACACTCATTTAGACTATGCTGCTCAGTTCTGGTCACCGTATTACAGAATGGATATAAATGCTCTGGAAAACGTACAGAGGAGGATGACAAAGATGATTCCATGTATCAGAAATCTTCCCTATGAGGATAGACTGAGGGCCCTGAATCTGCACTCTCTCGAAAGGCGTAGAATTAGGGGGGATATGATCGAGGTGTATAAATGGAAAACAGGAATAAATAAAGGGGATGTAAATAGCGTGCTGAAAATTTCCAGCCAAGACAGGACTCGCACAATGGTTTCAAGTTGGAAAAATTCAGATTCAGAAAAGGATATAGGAACACGGTTTGGTAATAGAGTTGTGGATGAGTGAACAAAACTCCAGTACAGTTATTCAGGCAAAAAAACTTGTGTAGTTTTAAAATAGGTTAATAAAAACAGAGTGGGTGTGGGTGGGTGTGAGTTGGACCTGACTAGCTTGGTTGCTGGTCTGGTCAGTCTCCATCTTGAGTGGAGATGATCAGAATGGGTGGTTATGTCTAATTCCGGGGGGATATGGACCTGCTCCGCATGGGTCAGTAGGCCTGTTGCAGTGTTCCTTCTTTCTTATGTTCTTATGTTCTAAGCATGAGCAAACTAAACTACAACTTAAGGCACCATAATGTAGGAGGGCAAAAACCCTAAAAATATTTACCCTTATTTTACTATTACTTATTTATATAAATTTTTGGGCCTCTTAAAATCGGCATAGCTCAAGGCTTCATAAGTTTGAAGGCCGGTCCTACTCTGGGGCAAATATTCCGAAAATTTTGTTCTTGACTCCGCCTTCACGTTGTTCAGTCGTTACCCCGCCTGCACCATCTTTTATTCACACTGTCTAGTGAGGCTAACAATACAAAGTTTGCTATTTATGAATGATCTTCAGCGTAGTTGTCCAATTAGGGTGAGAAACTTGTGTAGAGAAGACTCAAACTCGGAGCAAAATCCATCTCAAGACGAGCCAAGGCCAACTCATGAAGTGGGCGACGATTTAATCTGTAATACAATAACTAGGTAATAAATCATAAGAAAATAATTTCTGAAAATTGAGAATATATTTGAAAAGTTGATATATTGATTGTATTGGTAGAAATAATAGAGTTAACATCTATAGTATTATATAAAGAAAACAGCTACATGTACTTTATTCAATTTGTCTACTGCACTATATCTAAACGAATACTTTATTTCTTACGCGTGTACCCTCGTGCTGGTCCCTCCTATGTGTACCCTCGTGTTGGTCCTTCATGTGTACCCTCGTCTTTGTCCCTCCCATGTTGTACCCTCCTCCTGGTCCCTCCCATGTGTACCCTAGTCCTGGTCAGATCCATGTGTACCCTCGTACTGGTCCCTCCCATGTGTACCCTCCTACTGGTTCCTCCCATGTGTACCCTCCTATTGGTCCCTCCAATGTGTACCCTCGTCCTGGTCCCTCTCATGTGTATCCTCGTCCAGGTCACTCCCATGTGTACCCTCGCCCTGGTTCCTCTCGTGTGTGCGCTCGTTCTGATCTCTCCCATATGTGACTTTATATTGGTTTTTCTGCTCATCACTGTAATCAGTCTTGGTAAACCCTAAGTCCAAGCTTGAGTACTTTATTGTGGTCATATTATTACACCGTTGAATTTACAAGCTAAGAGTTCTTATCTTACCTCAACTCATTTCAAGACCCAGGTATACCTAAGATATACTATTACCCCGTCTCCCAGCAAACACACAATGTAATATTAAGTAATCGCGATGTAGGCTAAATGCTGTAACTATTAAGTACAAGATAATTTTGTTTACCTAACGTTGCAATTACAAAAAAAATACACAATGTGTTTCCTGGGTTCGTGGGTACTTACAGTATAAAGTTTACTGTTCGGTGAACAGAGGCAACACGTATAAGCATACATGCGTCATATGCTGTTATGTATGACATATGCTACTTTGACTTTTTTTGGGGTTATCCTAGGTAACCTACACACACTGCTATGTATGACAATTTATGTAACTATTTATGTGTACCTGTATCTAAATAAACTTACTTAACCTCTTCACCCGTCCCAGGATCGATCGCTCGTAATATGTTCTTTCCTAGACGGGAAGACAAGTTTGTTCAATCTTTCTCATCAACTTTTGTTCCTCATATCTGGTACCAGCACTGTGGTGAGTCATCATTTGTGTTTTCTTGGGTTGTTTCCTTGGGTTGAATTCTAAGTTTCTTACAATCACTATGTTTCCTATTCCAGTCGTGTAGTCAGATCTTCCCGTAAATATCTACAGCCTACTTTTTTTTTTTTTTTGCATCGTCAGCGAACGCTGCCATATAGGGGTTTATCCCTTCTAATAGGTCCTTTATGTATATCAGGAATAGTTGGGGACAGAGGAATGAGCCTTGGAGAACTCCGCTAGTTAGAAATCCACTCATTCATGTTTCATCTTCAAGTGACTTTTCTGATTATCAGGGATTCCTTAATCCATAATAATATCTTGTTCATTACTCCGACCTGCAACACTAGGCTGAAAAGCAGTGTTCTTTACAGTGTACTGTGGAGGGATTTCATGTCGTCTAGGAATACGCCAGCCATCTACCTTTTTATCGTCTAATTTCCGTCAGTGTGGCTCAAGTTTCTTATGTTTCTGATCTGGTGCACTGTGACTGAAACCTGTGTTCTTAACGTGTTTTTGTGATATGTGTTCTTATGATGAAATCCATGCTGTCAGTTATCTCGTGATATCTTTATTTACTACAAGTACATGTTATAAAGGCCTAGCTGACAACAATGACATACTACTATATAGAAAGCTCCTTGTTATGCTCCGCATGTCGGGCAAATTAGGTCAGTGTCCCAGGATGCGACCCACACCAGTCGACTAACACCCAGGTACTTTCGTGATGATCTTATTAAGATTGTAATAATGTTGGTAGAATTACCGACAGTATGTAAAGTGAAAGGACACAAGTGCAACTAATGTGACATTTTATTGTGGCAACGTTTCGCACTCCTGGAGAGCGAAAAGTTGCTACAATAAAATGTCACATTAGTTGCACTTGTGTCCTTTTACTTTACATCTTCTCAAGGTGTTCTTGTGATGAAGATCATCTTAAAGTGCAAAATGGCTGGAATATTTGCTGGGAAATTAAAAAAATAACTGATGATAAAAAGTTAGAAACTAAGAATTTAGAAAATTTTGAACAAATTTTTTTTGGCTAAATTAAAGTAACAAATAAATCCACATTGAAACAAATATTGAGGGTGAGGAAAGTAAAAAAATTTGTCTGGGTGCAACAAAAAAGTGAATGCTCTCTTGGTCTCTTCTTGACATAGTTTATCTAGAACTCAGGTTTGCATTCACAGTCATTCCTGTACCATTTTTCCTCTGCTACCATGTTCCCCAGGTCCAGTACGAAAGGTGCACGACTTGGAATGTCCTACCTTTTCCCTGTTATAGGGTTGTAGAGCAGTAGTCTATGTACCACTTTAATGTGGTCATTTAACAAGTATTTTACTGATTGAACTGGTCTCCTACACTTGCCAATGAAAATTTACTGTAAATTACATACCATACACAAATTTCCTATAAGCTGAGGCGAGGGCGAGGAATATTTTGACATGTATGCCAGTCTGGGTGACCTGGGTCACTTCTGGCTCGAGTTAGTCTTATTTCTGGGTCCTGTAGGACGTCCCTTGGTATCTGGCGCCCGATGATCGGGCGGGGGATGGTCAGGGCCACATCAGTTGGCGTCTCGTGACTTATTTCCTCAAAGCTTTCATACATCAATTCGGTGTTCCTAGAGAGGGTCCAGTAGCCTCCGTTGTACACACCATCCTGTTGGTGCAGAACAGGAAGTCTTATCAGTAATAATAAATTTCTAACAAACGGACATGAAATATATCATTGAACTTCTGCTTGGTTTACACACGCTAATTTTGTGGTTTGTTAAAATTGGTTAATTTTTATTAATAAATAACACTTCTGTTGCCCCAACACTGGAGAATACAAAAATCCGTGGGTTGTATGATTCACACGTAAGAAGTGAGGCGAAGATATACAAGTCAGAGTAAATTGAGAAGTTTACTGCAAGGCTGTGTGTGACAATTACGCCATGGTATTGGACGATGTTGCAGCTTAATAAACCGTTACATACACTGTATCTGCCGTACATCCGTCTACAATATCGTGAGTTAAACAGATCCATAATTTTGTCATGCTGTTAGAAATGTGAAGGGTTAACTAGGAAGGTTATTGTAATGAACCAGTTGGCTAATGAGATGGAGTTAAGGGGAAAGTAAGTTCCCCCGTCTTTTAATAACAGATTTATTCTTCCCAGTATAATCTGCCTTGTCCATAATTACTATCGAATTTGCTCTGTCTGCTTCGTAAGATGAAGTCCAGGATCTTTCTTTAATTCATGGTATAACTTAACAAATCTTTGAGGACAATTGTGTTGCAAAGGTCTGAGAGAAGCTCAGACCTCTACAACACAACCGTCCTTAAAGATTTGTATGCTGGGAAGCAGTTGAACAGTCTTGGGCCCCTGACACTTATTGTGTTATTCTCTTAGCGTACTCGTGGCGCCCCTGCTTTTCAGTGGGGGAATGTAGCATCTCCTGCCCAGTCTTTTGCTTTCGTAGGGAGTGATTTTTGTGTGCAGGTTTGGTACTAATCCCTCTAAGATTTTCTCAGTGTATATTATCAAGTATCTTTCTCGCCTGCGTTCCATGGAAAACAAATCAAGGGACTTCAACCGTTCTCAGTAATTTAGGTGTTTTATTGTACTTATGTGTGCCGTGAAAGTTCTCTGTACATTCTCCAGGTCAGCAATTTCGCCTGCCTTGTAGTGGGCAGTTAGTGTACAGCAGTATTCCAATCCAGAAAGAACAAGCGATTTGAAGAGAATCATCATGGGCTTGGCGTCCCTAGTTTTGAAGGTTCTGTTATCCATCCTATCATTTTTCTAGTACATGAGGTAGATACATTGTTGTGGTCTTTGAAGGTGAGATCTAACATTATCACTCCCAAGTCTTTCACATTAGTTTTTCGCTCTATTGTGTGGTTAGAATTTGTTTTATACCTTGTTACAGTTTTAATTTCATCAAGTTTTCCATATATGCACAGTTGAAATTTCTCTTCATTGAACTTTATATTGTAGGAAAGAAAGAAAGAAAAAAAAAAAAGAACGAATGATGTTTCTACTTCAACGGGCATACTATACAAGAGTAGAAGTATCGCGTGGTTTTAAGAACAAACAAATGCAACTGTCATTGTTATAGCTCTGCTGTGAAAATTTGTCTGGACTGCCTCCATGTGAGTTGTCTACCCTGGCAAACTCTGTTGACACCGAGCCCTGAGGTCGGTACCTCAGCCTCACAAGTGGCTTATAGGACGGATTTTCATAAATGACTGATGTTGCAAGAAATCTCGCCTGCATGCATGTATAAAGGACTAACTTACTTGGTGCTGGAGAATGTGTCTCGGTCTTCAACCTCCCTAAGCTTTAGTCCCTGTGGACTTTCCCTCAGAACCACGTGCAACCGGGAGCCTTAATTCCTGCAATATTCAGTTTACATTAGCGACCTGCCTGCACCTCAGAAATTCCTGTTTCCAAGGGGGTGTGAATCCCCTAGACTACTATGCAGAGAGTGACAGTCGCATTCAGAATTAAATTCAATCACGTACCTGGTTATTTGTTCAGTTTACTGACCTAAATGTGAGACACTTCACGAGTTTAACTAGTTTTTGAGCACCTGCCTCATCGTAAACTCACTACAGGATATTTCAATAACTGTCATCATCAGTGAGGATTCCTTAGGACAAGTAGTAGAGGTAAGCATACTGCTAAATTACTTTTAGATACAAACCTCACTTTTATAAACGACGGCAGTGGAATTCTTGTAAACGATCAGACTGAAAACCTATCCATATAAAGTACCAAACGTTATTTGTGGCGTCAATGATGATTCCATGACCGGTGATCCCTTCCCGATATACATTTCTTATGATTGTATAATAATAATAATATTAATTTCTACATGATACAACTTATACAGGCCATAGATGATATCTATGACATACAGAAAGCCCCTGGTTATGCAGAGCATTTCGGGCAACTTAGGGTAATTTTGTCCCCAGGATGCAACCCACACCAGCCGGTTAACACCCAGGTACATACCTACTTCTAGGTGAGCAGGGAGAGCAGGTGTCTTAAGGAAACACGCCCAATGTTTCCATCCGTACTGGGGATCGAACCACGGAAACTAAAAATGTGAGCTGAGTGCGCTACCAACCGAACCACAATGTTCAAGCTGTCTCCTACGTCAGAAGATGCAGGTTAGGCTACTTACTATTTCAGAGTCAGGGTAGGCAGGAGACCCCTCATCCAGGTTCCAATTCCTGGAGCGCCTGCGAAACAGTGATTATTTTAGTCACCCAGACCACAGGTTACGTATGTTGTATTTTATAAATGCAGGCATTGCAATCTTGGCTTATACAGTAACGATTGTTTTGACAGTGAAAGTTACTGTCGAACCAAAGATTTAAAAAAAAATGTACTGTAACACCTGAAAATCTCACAGGTATAAAACCTGAAAAATGAACACACGTCTTGTTAGCACATTAACCATTCCAATGTTCTTCTGCAGGTTGGCTGGTTAATTGAGCTTACAGCCTGTCGACTACATGAGGGTCAATAAGGGTGCATGTTACCTGTGCATCACCAGTCAAGAATGCTTTAATCCACAAAATAGTGTTTAAATTAAACTCAGCGAATATACACAGACATACACCTGTCAGTGTATATATCCTGTATAATAGGAATATTTTAGTTAGATCATCTAAATTGAAACTGTGAATAATAGTGTGGACCTGATGCTTAACTTTGTGAAAATACAGTTTTACATTTCAATTGCAACAATTTTTTCTTATCTTTTATTCCATTCTTCTGATACATGTGACATATTTTAGAGAGCAAGAACATAATACCTCAAAGAAAATAATACTGTCTCTAAAAAACTGACGCAGAGGAATAATGTTTTGTTGAATATTTTACATGATACTGTATACAACATTTGACAAACACATACACATTTTCTGTTTATAATAAATCACATAGTTACCTTCTGTAATAAGTGCATTAGTGTGTGTGTTATATATATATATATATATATATATATATATATATATATATATATATATATATATATATGTCGTGCCGAATATGGAAAACTGGTCAGTTAGCAAGAACTCATTTAAAATTAAGTCCTTTCTAAAATTTTCTCTTATACGTTTAAAGAAATATTTTTTTCATTAATGTTAATGTAAAATTTTTAATTTTGCTCCAAAAGAGTCTTAGAAAACTTACCTAACCTTATTATAACAAGAACAATTTATTTTAGCCTAACCCAACTAAATATATTTTAGATTTTCTTACAATAATTTAATACTAAAACAGTGAAATATATTTCACTGTGTGTATGCACAGGCTGATGCATGCAGGGGATGAGATGAAAAGCTGTAAGCCTTCTCCCTGAAAGCTGGCTGCCTTGGATCAAACGTGTAGCGCAAGCTGGACGCCAAGGTATTGTCCAGTGTGGGTAGATTGGTAAAGCACTGCGTACTTTGTCCTAAGGTTCGTAGGTTCGAGTCTCCTTCAACCAGAGATCAGTGTTTGTGTATATTTCGCCTGCTCTCGCGAATTCCTTGTATATATAATATATAATATATATATATATATATATATATATATATATATAATATATATATATATATATATATATATCGTGCCGAATAGGTAAAACTGGTCAATTAGCAAGAACTCAATTAAAATTAAGTCCTTTCTAAAATTTTCCCTTATACGTTTAAAGAAATATTTTTTTCACTTATGTTAGTGTAAAATATTATAATTTTGCACCAAAAGAATCTTAGAAAACTTACCTAACCTTATTATAACAAGCTCAATTTAATTTAGTCTAATCCAACTAAATATATTTTCGATACGTTAACAATAATTTAATAATAAACAAACACAATGAAATATATTTTTTTGTTAGGATCACAATAATTTTTGCGAAATTATTGCATACACAAATTTTCGCTCGTCTTATATGGCAAGATGGGCGTTGCTGTTTAAGCCAAAATCACAAGTTTTACCTATTCGGCACGACACATATATATATATATATATATATAATATATATATATATATATATATATATTATATATATATATATATATATATAATATACACTTTCTCTAGTTTCTTTATGTGCTTGGCTAGGTGTGGGTTCCAAACTGGTGCCGCATACTCCAATATGGGCTTAACGTACACGGTGTACAGGGTCCTGAACGATTCTTTATTAAGATGTCGGAATGCTGTTCTGAGGTTTGCTAGGCGCCCGTATGCTGCAGCAGTGAGAGTGAGTGTGTGTGTATGTGTGTATGTGTGTGTGTGTGTGTGTGTGTGTGTGTGTGTGTGTGTGTGTGTGTGTGTACTCACCTAGTTACTCACCTAGTTGAGGTTGCAGGGGTCAAGTCCGAGCTCCTGGCCCCGCCTTTTCACTGATCGCTACTAGGTCACTCTCCCTGAACCGTGAGCTTTATCATACCTCTGCTTAAAGCTATGTATGGATCCTGCCTCCAATACATCGCTTCCCAAACTATTCCACTTACTGACTACTCTGTGGCTGAAGAAATACTTCCTAACATCCCTGTGATTCATCTGTGTCTTCAACTTCCAACTGTGTCCCCTTGTTACTGTGTCCAATCTCTGGAACATCCTGTCTTTGTCCACCTTGTCAATTCCTCTCAGTATTTTGTATGTCGTTATCATGTCCCCCCTATCTCTCCTGTCCTCCAATGTCGTCAGGTTGATTTCCCTTAACCTCTCCTCGTAGGACATACCTTTTAGCTCTGGGACTAGTCTTGTTGCAAACCTTTGCACTTTCTCTAGTTTCTTTACGTGCTTGGCTAGGTGTGGGTTCCAAACTGGTGCCGCATACTCCAATATGGGCCTAACGTACACGGTGTACAGGGTCCTAAACGATTCCTTATTAAGATGTCGGAATGCTGTTCTGAGGTTTGCTAGGCGCCCATATGCTGCAGCAGTTATTCGGGTGATGTGCGCTTCAGGAGATGTGCCTGGTGTTATACTCACCCCAAGATCTTTTTCCTTGAGTGAGGTTTGTAGTCTCTGGCCCCCTAGACTGTACTCCGTCTGCGGTCTTCTTTGCCCTTCCCCAATCTTCATGACTTTGCACTTGGTGGGATTGAACTCCAGTAGCCAATTACTGGACCAGGTCTGCAGCCTGTCCAGATCCCTTTGTAGTTCTGCCTGGTCTTCGATCGAATGAATTCTTCTCATCAACTTCACGTCATCTGCAAACAGGGACACTTCGGATTCTATTCCTTCCGTCATGTCGTTCACAAATACCAGAAACAGCACTGGTCCTAGGACTGACCCCTGTGGGACCCAGCTGGTCACAGGTGCCCACTCTGACACCTCTCCACGTACCATGACTCGCTGCTGTCTTCCTGACAAGTATTCCCTGATGCATTGTAGTGCCTTCCCTGTTATCCCTGCTTGGTCCTCCAGTTTTTGCACTAATCTCTTGTGTGGAACTGTGTCAAACGCCTTCTTGCAGTCCATGAAAATGCAATCCACCCACCCCTCTCTCTCTTGTCTTACTGCTGTCACCTTGTCATAGAACTCCAGTAGGTTTGTGACACAAGATTTCCCGTCCCTGAAACCATGTTGGCTGCTGTTGATGAGATCATTCCTTTCTAGGTGTTCCACTACTCTTCTCCTGATAATCTTCTCCATACTATACATGTCAGTGACACTGGTCTGTAGTTTAGTGCTTCATGTCTGTCTCCTTTTTTAAAGATTGGGACTACATTTGCTGTCTTCCATGCCTCGGGCAATCTCCCTGTTCGATAGATGTATTGAATATTGTTGTTAGGGGTACACATAGCTCCTCTGCTCCCTCTCTCAGGACCCATGGAGAGATGTTATCCGGCCCCATTGCCTTTGAGGTATCTATCTCACTCAGAAGCCTTTCACTTCTTCCGTGGTTGTGTGTACTGTGTCCAGCATTGGTGGGGTGCCCACCTCTCTGTCTTTCTGGAGCCCCCTTTTGTCTCCTCTGAAACACTTCTTCAAATCTCTTGTGAGTTCTCACTTACTTCTTGGTCATTTTTGTTGTCTCTCCCCCTTCCTTCCTTAGCCTGATTACCTGGTCCTTGACTGTTTTTTTCCTCCTGATGTGGCTGTATAAACAGTTTTGGGTCGATCTGACTTTCGCTGCTATGTCGTTTTCATATTGTCGTTGGGCCTCCCTTTTTTATCTGTGAATATTCATTTTTTGGCTCTACGACTGCTCTCCTTATTCTCCTGGGTCCTTTGCCTTCTATATTTCTTCCATTCCCTAGCACACTTGGTTTTTGCCTCCCTGCACCTTTGGGTGAACCATGGGCTCATCCTGGCTTTTTCATTAGTCCTGATACCCTTTAGTTAAACCTCTCCTCAGCCTCCTTGCACATTGTTGCTACATATTCCATCTTTCATTAACTGACTTCCCTGCCAAATTCTCTGCCCCACTGAACCCGTTCAGGAAGTTTCCTTTCATTCCGTGTAGTCCATTTCTTGTAGTTTGGCTTCATTCGCCCCCCCTAGCCTTCTGCTTCCCCCTCACTTGTAGCTCTATTGTGTATTCGAGCTTAAACCACATGATCGTGGCCCCAAGGGGTTTTTTCATATGTGATGTCCTCAATATCTGCACTACTCAAGGTGAATACTAGGTCCAGTCTTGCTGGTTCATCCTCTCCTCTCTCTCTTTAGTGTCCCTTTAAACGTGTTGGTGCATGAAGTTTTCCAGTACCACCTCATCATCTTAGCCCTCCATGTGTCTTGGCTTCCCCTGTTTGCTCCAAGTTCTCCCAATCGATCTCCTTGTGGTTAAAGTCGCCCATGATCAGGAGCTTTGCCCTGCATGCATGAGCTCTTCTGGCCACTGCAGCCAGTGTGTCAACCATCGCTCTATTGCTCTCGTCATTACTCTTGCTTTGACCTCCTGGGTGTTCTGTGGTGGGTTATCATCACGCAATTGGTTTAGAAAGACACGTAAGCAAACACTATAACATATTTATTAGAAAACGTTTCGGTCCTGGGACCTTGATCACTTGATCAAGGTCCCAGGACCGACAGTTTTCTAATAAAAATGTTATAGTGTTTGCTTACGTGTCTTTCTAAAACCAACTTGTCGGTATTTATTACCAAGGTTTATACCATCACTGCAATTACCACCTTGGGACCTCCAGAGTGAAGTGTTCCCGCTATGTAATCGCTTGCTTCTCTGCTGTCTCCTCTCTCCAGCTCATCAAAATTCCATTGGTTTTTGATCAACAGTGCCACTCCTCCCCCCCCCTGTTACCTCTGTCTTTCCTCAGGATCTGGTATCCCGTTGGAAATATGGCATCTGTTATCATACCTGTTAGCTTGGTTTCTGTGAGAGCTATGATGTCCGGTGATGCCTCTTTGACTCTTTCGTGTGTGTGTGTGTGTGTGTGTGTGTGTGTGTGTGTGTGTGTGTGTGTGTGTGAGTGTGAGTGTGAGTGTGAGTGTGAGTGTGAGTGTGAGTGTGTGTGTGTACTCACCTAATTCTCCTAATTGTGGTTGCAGGGATCGAGACTCAGCTCCTGGCCCCGCCTCTTCACTGAACGCTACTAGGCCCTCTCTCTCCCTGTTTTATCATACCTCGTCTTAAAGCTATGTATGGTTCCTGCCTCCACTACATCACTCGCCAGACTATTCCACTTCCTGACAACTCTATGACTGAAGAAATACTTCCTAACATCCCTGTGACTCATCTCAGTTTTCAACTACCAAGAGTGACCCCTCGTTTCTGTGTCCCCTCTCTGGAAAATCTTGTCTCTGTCCACCTAGGTCTATTCCACTCAGTATTTTGTACGTCGTTATCATGTCTTCCCTGATCCTTCTGTCCTCCAGTGTCGTCAGGCCGATTTCCCTTAACCTTTCTTCGTAGGACATTCCCCTAACTAACTTTGGAACTAACTTTGTCGCAAACCTTTGCACTTTCTCTAATTTCTTAACGTGCTTGACCCGGTACGGGTTCCAAACTGGTTCTGCATACTCCAGTATGGGCCTGACGTACCCGGTGTACAGTGTCTTGAAAGATTCCTTACTTAGATATCGGAACGCTAATCTCAGGTTTGCCAGGCGCCCATATGCTGCAGCAGTTATCTAGTTGATGTGTGCTTCCGGAGACATGCTCGGTGTTTTACTCACCTCATGATCTTTCTCCTTGAGCGAGGTTTGCAGTCTTTGGCCACCTAGCCTATACTCTGTCTGCGGTTTTCTTTGCCCTTCTCCAATCTTCATGACTTTGCATTTGGCAGGGTTGAATTCGAGAAGCCAGTTGCTAAACCACGTGTCCAGTCTGTACAGATCTCTTTGAAGTCCTGCCTGATCCTCATCTGATTTAATTCTCCTAATTAACTTCACATCATCTGCGAACAGGGACACCTCTGAGTCTATCCCTTACATCATGTCATTCACATATACCAAAAATAGCACTGGACCTAGGACTGACCCTTGTGGGACCCCGCTCGTCACAGGTGCCCACTGTGATACCTCATCACGTACCATGATTCGTTGTTGCCTCCCTGTCAGGTATTCTCTGATCCATTGCAGTGCCCTTCCCGTTATACACGCCTGATCTTCTAGTTTCTGCACTAATCTCTTGCGAGGAACTGTGTCGAAGGCCTTCTTGCATTCCAAGAAAATGCAATCAACCCACCCCACTCCCTCGTGTCTTACTTCTGTAACTTATACAAACAAACCTTCTGGAGTCATAAAACTCCAGAAGGTTTGTGTGTGTGTGGGTGTGTGTGCTTTCCTGAAGATAACGTTTTGGTGTGTATATGGTCACATTCTTTAGATAAGTATTTTTGTGTACATAGTTACCTTCTGTAGACACGTGCTTTAATGTGTATGTACAGTCACCTGTAGATAAATCTTTTAATGTGTTTATAGGCACCACTTGTAAATAAGTGTTAATGTGTATATAGTTACTTTCTGTAGATGTTAATGCGTGTATATAGTCACCCGTTATTACGAACACGGGTAATAATTGGCCTGCGAGACCTGGTCGTAATGGAAATCGGAGCAAACTAAGCAGTAGACTATAATGTATATTTTTTGCCTTCACCCACTATATACAGGCATGTACACTATGTACAATATATACAGATAGAATAATAAGTGTACCCCACGGTGGCAGATGGCAAAGCAGAAGCCAGAATGCACCGTACTCATCCAGTAGGTAGGCAATTCTGCCAATACTTACCGCAAGTGAACCACTTTGCTTCAGCTTTGGCGGGCTTGCCTGTGATTGGTCAATGAACCAATTTACTGATTTAACGACGGGTACCTTATCGATCGTTTAACCCCTAGCACCCGGTTCGCTGGTTGGGATGCAGTCTATATGGGAATGTGACACATGCCGAATAAATTGTAACATACTCTTTGCATGCCACACTCGTAGATAAGTGTATGTATACAGTCACTTGCAGATAAGTTTTAATGTGTATATATAATTACCTTCTGTAGATAATTAGAGCACCGACCAGCACCACTGCGATGATCAAAACACTCACCACCGACCCTATTACAGCTGAAAGTAATAATAATAATAATAAAGTATGAATGGTTTCTTATGGGCCTATAGGCCTCATAAAGTTCCATATTGCTTTTGTTCTAGAATTTCCATACCCATTTTCACATAATTAGTTACAAATAAAAATTAGAATATGGATTTGAGTTAAGAGGTCAGAAAATGTAGCAGAGTGTTATTGCAGTTTAAAGAAGGAAAACTAGTATAAACTTTATGGTAAGGAAGCTCGGCTTCTTGAGTGTGTTAAGCCTTTTGTCAGCTCAACACATTCAAGAAGCCTACCTCCTGTAGCATATTATCATTATGAGGGAGCGCTCAACGCGTAGGGATTATACAGAGCCTCTGAGGAGGGATGGAAGGCATTCAGGCTCAATTCAGGGAACTGGAGCACAGATCCAATTCCCTAGATCCAGAGCCCCTCAGCAGCATCAAGGAACCCCCCTTGAGGGGATGTCCATTGCAGGGGTTCTTTCCAAACTGCAATTACACTGCTACATTTACTGACCTCATAACTCCATTTCTGGATTATAATCTTGATCGTTTGGAGATTCAACTACAGTTTTTTTTAAGCGGCAATAAGATAAGATTTTTTTTGGAGATTATATTCCATACTGTACTGTGTACAACAACTGTATGAAGTAATTGTAAAATATGAAGTGACTAATATTTCTTTCTAGTGATCTAACAATGTTCATTGGTGTCCGACGAAGACCCATTGTAACCTCTGTAATCCTGATTTTTGTGCTACTGCTCACAGGATAAGCATGGTTAGGTTAGGTAAGATTTGTCAGGAAACAGGACAACTGTTTCCTGACGAGGGTCTTAGTCATATGATTACCCGCCGCTAGAGCTTTTGGTCATCTGACCGAGGCCTTCCACTGGCTATGATTATAACCATTCTTTTAATGAGCATGGGATGCACAATAAACTAGCTGCTCAGGTGGCACAACTCTGCCCATGGCGTGGGCTGTTACAGAACATGACTTGGATGAAGGTATACGAGGAGAGCTCTCTCGTGTCACTCAACGACTAGTTGAATAATGAGTCTCTCCTCTTGAATATCTCACCGTGGAAGATATTATCAGCAGTGATAGTGACTAATGCTAGGAAATAGTGTGATATCTCTCATATAATGGCTAACTCACAGTTGGCGAAGGAAGTGTTGAAGCCAGGACAACTCAATGCTGCCTTCATAGATATGTGTGGCTTCCAGCTCACCCACAACATACAAGTCATCACAATTTAGAGCGTCAAAAGCTGTTTTATCATTCACACCGAGCACAAGGTGGGAACTTACATAATTAAAATTATGAGCAGGATCATACAGAGTGAAGATGTTGAACGCAGAGTAGCTTACATAATTCCTGACACCATTGTATTACAATTACAGCCTCAAGATTTAAATTACAAGAGGTTCATGGGGGAATGATTTATTAATGTAAACACTACAAGTGATAGTAGATTAAACGTTATATGTAACAAACAAGGATAACTTACTAGGTAGTCTGCGCTGTATGACCCTGGTAGGTTTAGCGCTTCTTTTTGATTCTAATAATCAACTATCGATTTGGTATTATGACATGGAAGGTGATTTGTCGCGTAAAGGTAGCTACAATTTCTGTCAAGAAACAGGACGTTTCCTGACTGGTGTCTTAGTCATATGATGACTCACAGCTGGAGCATTTGGTCACCTGACCGAAAACTTCGGCTGGCTTACCCATCCACCTCTTTAAAATTCATGGTTATGATTATAACCATTAGGATTTAGTCGCGTAAAGATATAGGAACCTGAGTAATATTCTGTTATTGACACCTAAGCAATTTTCTGAAGGCCTAGGTAGAAATCTGAGTAATTTTCTGAAAGCCTAGGTAGAAACGTGAGTAATTTTCTGAAGGCCTAGGTAGAAACGTGAGTAATTTTCTGAAGGCCTAGGTAGAAACCTGAATAATTTTCTGAAGGCCTAGGTAGAAACCTGAGTAATTTTCTGAAGGCCTAGGTAGAAACCTGAGTAATTTTCTGAAGGCCTAGGTAGAAACGTGAGTAATTTTCTGAAGGCCTAGGTAGAAACCTGAGCAATTTTCTGAAGGCCTAGGTAGAAACCTGAGTAATTTTCTGAAGGCCTAGGTAGAAACCTGAGTAATTTTCTGAAGGCCTGGTAGAACCTGAGTAATTTTCTGAAGGCCTAGGTAGAAACCTGAGTAATTTTCTGAAGGCCTAGGTAGAAACCTGAGTAATTTTCTGAAGGCCTAGGTAGAAACCTGAGTAATTTTCGGAAGCCTAGGTAGAAACCTGAGTAATTTTCTGAAGGTCTAGGTAGAAACCTTAGTAATTTTCTGAGGCCTGGAGAAACCTGAGTAATTTTCTGAAGGCCTAGGTAGAAACCTGAGTAATTTTTCTAAGCCTGGTAGAAAACCTGAGTAATTTTCTGAAGCCTAGGTAGAAACCTGAGTAATTTTCTGAAGGCCTAGGTAGAAACCTGAGTAATTTTCTGAAGGCCTAGGTAGAAAAACCCGAGTAATTTTCTGAAGGCCTAGGTAGAAACTGAGTAATTTTCTGAAGTCTAGGTAGAAACCTGAGTAATTTTCTGAGGGCCTAGGTAGAAACCTGAGTAATTTTCTGAAGGCCTAGGTAGAAACCTGAGTAATTTTCTGAAGCCTAGGTAGAAACTGAGTAATTTTCTGAAGGCCTAGGTAGAAACCTGAGTAATTTTCTGAAGGCCTAGGTAGAAACCTGAGTAATTTTCTCAAGGCACAGGTAGAAACGTGAGTAATTTTCTGAAGGCCTAGGTAGAAACCTGAGTAATTTTCTGAAGGCCTAGGTAGAAACCTGAGTAATTTTCTGAAGGCTAGGGTAGAAACCTGAGTAATTTTCTGAAGGCCTAGGTAGAAACTGAGTAATTTTCTGAAGGCCTAGGTAGAAACCTGAGTAATTTTCTGAAGTCCTGGTAGAAACCTGAGTAATTTTCTGAAGGCTAGGTAAAACCTGAGTAATTTTCTGAAGGCCTAGTAGAAACCTGAGTAATTTTCTGAAGGCCTAGGTAGAAACCTGAGTAATTTTCTGAAGGCCTAGGTAGAAACCTGAGTAATTTTCTGAAGGCCTAGGTAGAAACCTGAGTAATTTTCTGAAGGCCTTGGTAGAAACCTGAGTAATTTTCTGAAGGCCTAGGTAGAAACTGAGTAATTTTCTGAAGGCCTATGTAGAAACCTGAGTAATTTTCTGAAGCCTAGGTAGAAAACCTGAGTAATTTTCTGAAGGCCTAGGTAGAAACCTGAGTAATTTTCTGAAGGCCTAGGTAGAAACCTGAGTAATTTTCTAAGGCCTAGTAGAAACCTGAGTAATTTTCTGAAGTCCTAGGTAGAAACCTGAGTAATTTTCTGAAGCCTAGGTAGAAACCTGAGTAATTTCTGAAGGCCTAGGTAGAAACCTGAGTAATTTTCTGAAAGCCTAGGTAGAAACCTGAGTAATTTTCTGAAGTCCTAGGTAGAAACCTGAGTAATTTTCTGAAGGCCTAGGTAGAAACATGAGTAATTTTCTGAAGGCCTAGGTAGAAACCTGAGTAATTTTCTGAAGGCCTAGGTAGAAACCTGAGTAATTTTCTGAAGTCCTAGGTAGAAACCTGATAATTTTCTGAAGCCTAGGTAGAATGAAACCTGAGTAATTTTCTGAAGCCTAGGTAGAAACCTGAGTAATTTTCTGAAGGCCTAGGTAGAAACCTGAGTAATTTTCTGAAGGCCTAGGTAGAAACCTGAGTAATTTTCTGAAGGCCTAGGTAGAAACTGAGTAAATTTTTGAAGGCCTAGGTAGAAACCTGAGTAATTTTTGAAGTCCTAGGTAGAAACCATAAGTAATTTCCTTTTTTCTGAAGGCCTAGGTAGAAACCTGAGTAATTTTCTGAAGGCCTAGGTAGAAACCTGAGTTTAATTTTCTGAAGGCCTAGGTAGAAACCTGAGTAATTTTCTGAAGGCCTAGTAGAAACCTGAGTAATTTTCTGAGGCCCAGGAGAACTGAGTATTTTCTGAAGCCTGTAGAAACCTGAGTAATTTTCAGAAGGTCTAGGTAGAAACCTTAGTAATTTTTTGAAGGCCTAGGTAGAAACCTGAGTAATTGTCTGAAGGCCTAGGTAGAAACCTGAGTAATTGTCTGAAGGCCTAAGTAGAAACCTGAGTAATTTTCTGAAGGCCTAGGTAGAATCCTGAGTAATTTTCTGAAGGCCTAGGTAGAAACCTGAGTAATTTTCTGAAGTTCTTGGTAGAAAACTGACTAGTTTTCTGAAGGCCTAGGTAGAAACCTGAGTAATTTTCTGACGGCCTAGGTAGAAACCTGAGTAATTTTCTGAAAGCCTATGTAGAAACCCGAGTAACTTTATGAAGTCCTAGATAGAAACCTGAGTAATTTTATGAAGGCCTAGGTAGAAACCTGAGTAATTTTCTGAAGGCCTAGGTAGAAACCTGAGTAATTTTCTGAAGGCCTTGGAAGAAACCTGAGTAATTTTCTGAAGGCCTAGGTAGAAACCTGAGTAATTTTCTGAAGGTCTAGGTAGAAACCTGAGTAATTTTCTGAAGGCCTAGGTAGAAACCTGAGTAATTTTCTGAAGGCCTAGGTAGAAACCTGAGTAATTGTCTGAAGGCCCAGTAGAAACCTGAGTAATTTTCTGAATACCTAGGTAGAAACCTGAGCAATTTTCTGAAGTCCTAGGTAGAAAACTGAGTAGTTTTCTGAACGCCTAGGTAAAAACCTGAGTAATTTTCTGACGGCCTAGGTAGAAACCTGAGTAATTTTCTGAAAGCCTAGGTAGAAACCTGAGTAATTTTTGAAAGTCCTAGGTAGAAACCTGAGTAATTTTCTGAAGTCTAGGTAGAAACCTGAGTAATTTTCTGAAAGCCTAGGTAGAAACCTGAGTAATTTTCTGAAGTCCTAGGTTAGAAACCTGAGTAATTTCTGAAGGCCTAGTAGAAACCTGAGTAATTTTCTGAAGGCCTAGGTAGAAACCTGAGTAATT